ATAAATACTTTAGAGGTAAATCGTTATTTTCTCATATGGTAAAGGCATCCATTCCACTTTATTAAAAATCCTGCACAAGCAATCTGTTTTTAGGCATTTTCACTTGTCACCCAGCAGAGGGCATCATTCCTATTCACTCACCGTTTCATAGTTGGGGAAAAAAGGTGACATTTGCCTTACTGGTAAATTGCATGACTGAGGCTGTTCAATTTAATCGTCAATTTCCAGTTCTCCATTACTCCCACACTCATTTTCCAGAAACTACATGTGTCCTATATGGTAGAAAGTTTGGCAACTTGGCAGTTAATGCAAATGTTTTACAAAATCATTGACATCGTCTGCTTCAAAAACATGTGTGCTTAAATAAAAAATATATCTTATAAAACGTACAACGGAGTTAAGTACCCGGAAGAATGTTACTATGACACAAAGAGGCGCGTTTCATCTAAATCACACGTGGGATTTATCCCTGTTGCAACAGGCGCACTCACCTGATGGTCTTCAGCAGGAAGAGTTTTCAGAGCCACAGTGAAGTCATGACTGATCTTCCCCACGCTGCAAATTCCCCACCTGGTTGCCATGTTCCTCCAAAATGATTGTCAGGAACAGAAACAGAGTAAGTTAATCTCCATTGTAAACTGGTTGTATTTAATCACAGCATGAATAAGTCAAACTTTTACTGGTAGTCCTGGCTGTACACCCCTCCCACCTGCTGGCAGATCTCATCCCCCATTTCAGCCAGCAGCAGAGTGTAGGCATGGGACATGACTGGGCTCTCCTTCAGCCCTGCAAAGAGAAACACTGACAAGTCAGCTGCTACAGACAAATGCTCCACAGAAGTTCAGGGATGAGCTTATGCAGTCGACTTTTAAACTGTTTTACAAAATGTTAATTGTTCAACTTTAATTATGTTCTTATACAACTTTGCTAATGCCTCCTATTTTTTCCCCCCCACTGCATTGAATCCCAAGCATCCCATATTTCATGAATATTCCTGAAGTGGCTTTAATGCCTCAGCTATATAATGTTTGTAACAGATTGTTACACAGATTGTGCTTGAATCAGAAGGCAAAATACTGATGTCTCAATACCCTTGAGCAGACACTGGCGGACCTCCTCTACTTCGCAACGCTTCCCTGTGCTGTAGGTAAAGTTGAGAGACAAGGAGGGTTCAGGTACCAGCTGCTGGGTCTCCTTCCTATTAACAACCAGTGAGGTGGGGCACCACATAGGAGAAAGGACCTGGAGCATGTGCATCGGATTAATGTCAAACCAGTGCTTGAAGACACTTGTAATTTCTTCTACATAACACTGAAACTACCAAATGTACTTTTTGAATTGTTGTCATGCCATCCTTGGCAACTTACCTGGATTGTGCCTTTTGTCCCAACAATAATGGCATCACTGTGTAGCTCAACCCCAGCAGAGCAGGTGAACATTGCCATTCTGTTCTTAGAATACCTAAGAATGACAGCCACAGTCTCATCCACTCCTACAGGGAGGAGAATATATAACAGTGTAGAGAAAAGATGCCAAAACTTAAAATACAGCCACTAAAGCTGAAAATAAAGAGTTGTAAGCTAATTTAGAGTTTCAACAAGGCCTATCAGGAACATTCTAATTAGATTACATTTCTTTTATATCAGATTTGTAAGGTATGAAATTATTTTCTAAGTCTGACCTGATGTATTTATTTTATGATGGTCAATCTACATTTTCTTTACTTTAAAAAGAGGACTTTACATGAGTTTTCTGGCATTTTAGAGCTTTTAAATGCAGAGAAAGGTTGTAAAAGATATGCAACTACAGTAGGGAATTATTTTCTGTAACAAAGCCAGAAAAAAAAAAAAAAAAAGACAGCTCAAGGTTTGTGTGCAAACTGAAGATGCATCAATCCGACTTTTCCTATTAAAACCAAACTCCTACCAAAAATGGTTTGGTTCTTTTGAAACATTTAAACAGGGGAAAATGTAAGTTTTAGAATTTCACAAATCAAATCAGTTAACATTTTCTTATTTCAATACTTCACAAATTGATCAGTGAAAAGTCAAAATTAAATGCAAGCAGCTTCTCTTTTCAACATTCATCCCAGGAGGAATCTGCACACAATTATAAAAATCTTAACTCACTTGAGTGTAAAGTAGTATCTCACATAATGTCACTGATTTGGCACAGCCTCTGAAGTTACATGAATGCCTCATCCTGTTAACTCCTTACCCGTCTCCAGGCAGGTTCCGCTGGCTTGGATACTCTCCGGCTTCTCTCCTTTGTATACCATACATATGAATTGAAGGCAGCAGATACCAAGTCCTAGTAATGCGCCTTCACAGCGGTCCTTCTGATCTGATCTAGACATGTGCAACAGTGGCACACCATAGTCTGCACGGACCATCTTCACCTCCCCTATGTACTCCCAGGACAGCAGATTTCTGATCTGCACAGAGGCCTGGAAAAAACGGGTCCACGCAGCCTGGAGAGAAAACATGTTTTAAGCTGTTCAAGTGTGTAATAGTACACAGAGAAATTATTTTTTTCTTCCTGGTTTGCTAACATGCTTACCTCCATGAGGAAGACGTTGTTCTTTTTGGCAGAGTCCAGAATCTCTTTCACTTCCTTGGTGTTCATGGCCAGCGACTTCTCACTTAGAACATTCTTTTTAGCATTTATGAAAAGTTTACAGGCGTTCAGATGGTACGGGGGGATGACTCCAACATGGACAATATCTGCACACAGGTCAAACAACACTGAATAGTGTCATTTTCAGAAATAACAGTATGAAAGATAAAGATAAAATTAAAATGGGATAAAACATTTAATATAAAGCAGGAGGTATTGTAAAGCTTCATAATTAAAAATAAACTGAAAAACCTCTGGCAGATGGACACTGACCCATGTCTGGATCTCTGGCCAGCTCCTCATAGCTGCCGTAAACTCGAGAGATGCTGTGTTTNAGAAGGCAAAATGCTGAAGTCTCATTACCCTTGAGCAGACACTGGCGGACCTCCCCTGCTTCGAAACGCTTCCCTGTGCTGTTGGTAAAGTTGAGAGGCAAGGAGGGTTCAGGTACTGGATATTGGGTCTCCTTCTTATTAACTACCAGTGAGGTGGGGCACCACATCGGTGAAGGTACCTGGAGCATGTGCATCGGATTAATGTCAAACCAGAGTTTGAAGACACTTCTAATTTCTCCTACATAAAAACACTCAAACTAAACATGCCATCCTTGGTAACTTACCTGGATTTTGCCTTTTGTCCCAACAATAATGGCATCATTGTGCAGCTGGACCCCAGTAAAGCAGGTGAACATTGCCATTCTGTTTTTAGAATACTTAAGAATGACAGCCAAAGTCTTGTTCACTCCTACAGGGATGAGAATATACAACACATTGTAGAGAAAAAATGTCAAATCTCAAAATGCAGCTACAAAAGCTGAAAATGAAAAGTTGTAAGCTAATTTAGAGTTTCTGTAAGGTCCATCAGGAGGTGAACATAGCTTAGGAACATTCTTATTAGATTACATTTCTAATTTGTAAGGTATAAAATGATCCATTTTCTAAGGCCTGATGTACTCATTTTAATTTATGATGGTTAATCTACATTTTCTTTATTTTAAAAGCATTTTTTTTACATTGGTAAGAAGCTCTGAAATGCCAGAAAACTGTGTGCAGAGAAAGGTTGTAAAAGATATGGAACTACACTAGGGAATTATTTACTGCAACAAAGCCATAAAAATAAAGTTTATAGACAGCTCAAGATTCATTAATCCGACTTTTCCTATTAAAAACCATAAATGGTAGATTGGTTCTTACTTTTGTTTACTTACAGGGTGGAAAAGCATTTTTCTTTTTAGAATTTCACTAATCAAATCAGAGACAAGTAAATATTTTCTGATTTCAATACTTGACAAGTTGATCAGCAAGTCTCAAGTCAAAATTTTAAAAAGTAAGCAGCTTTTCTTTTCAATATTCATCCAAGGAGGAATCAGCACACAATTATAAAAAATCTTAACTCACTTGAGTGTAAAGTAGTATCTCACATAATGTCACAGCCTCTGAGGTTACATGAATGCCTCATCCTGTTAACTCCTTACCCGTCTCCAGGCAGACCCCGCTGGCTTGGATACTCTCCGGCTTCTCTCCGTTGTACACCATACTTATGAATTGAAGGCAATAGATGCCAAGATCTAGTAATGCTCCTCCACCAAGCTCCTTCTGATCTGATCTTGGCACACCATAGTCCGCACGGACCATTTTCACCTCCCCTATGTACTCCTGAGCCAGCAGATTTCTGATCTGCACAGAGGCTGGGAAAAAACGGGTCCACGCAGCCTGGAGAGAAAACATGTTTTAAAACTTTTGTGCAATAGTAAACCGTTTACAGAGAAATTATTTTTTTCTTCCTGGTTTGCTACAGGCTTACCTCCATGAGGAAGACGTCATTCTTTTCGGCAGAGTCCAGAATCTCTTTCACTTCCTTAGCATTCATGGCCAGCGGCTTCTCACACAGAACATTCTTTTTAGCATTTATGAAAAGTTTACAGGCGTTCAGATGGCATGGGTGGACAACTCCAACATACACAACATCTGCACAGTCAAACATAACACTGAATGATTTTTCAGAACAGTATGAAATATTGAGAAAATTGAAACTGGATAAAAGAAAACATTTAATATAGAGCAGGAGTTATTGTAAAGTTTTGAAATTAAAAAAACTGAAAAGCCTCTGGCAGAAGGACACTGACCTACATCTGGATCTCTGGCCAGCTCCTCATAGCTGCCATAAGCCTTAGAGATGTTGTGTTTTCTGGAAAACTCCTGAGCGTCCTCCAATTTACGAGCTGCAACAGCCACAACCTGTGAAGTCACAGATGATGCACATTAATTATAAATACTTTAGAGGTAAATTGTTATTTTCTTATTTGGTAAAGACATCCATTCCACTTTATTAAAAATCCTGCACCAGTAATCTGTTTTTAGCACTTTCACTCCTCCAGCAGAGGGCATCATTCATATAAACTCAATTTGTTTTGTAGTTGGAAAAAAGTGACATTTGTCTGACTGGTAAAAATGCAATGACTGAGGCTGTTCAATTGTTAATTTCCAGTTCTGTTACTCCCAGACTCATTTCCAGAAAAGGCTACATGCATCCTATTCTGTGCTTTATGGTAGATAGTTTGGTAGCTTGGCTGTTAATCAAAATGAAAACGTTTTACAAAATCGTTGACAGTCGTCTGCTTCACGATTCAACATCATGCGTGCTTAAGTAATAAAAAAAAAATCTTACAAAAAGTACCAGGAGGGAGATAAATACCTGGAAGAATGTTACTATGACACAAAGAGGCACGTTTCATCTAAATCACATGTGGGATTTATCTCTGTTGCAACAGGCGCACTCACCTGATGGTCTTCAGCAGGAAGAGTTTTCAGAGCCACAGTGAAGTCATGACTGATCTTCCCCGCGCTGCAGATTCCCCACCTGGTTGCCATGTTCCTCCAAAATGATTGTCAGGAACAGAAGCAGAGTAAGTTAGTCTCCATTGTAAACTTCTTGTATTTAATCACAGCATGAAAAAGTTGAACTTTTACTGGCAGTCCTGGCTGTACACCACGTCCACCTGCCGGCGGATCTCATCCCCCATTTCAGCCAACAGCAGAGTGTAGGCATGGGGCGTAACTGGACTCTCCTTCAGCCCTGCAAAGAGAAACATACTTGGTTGTGTGAATACTGACAAATGCTCCACAGTTCAGAGATTAGCTTATGCAGTTGACTTAAACCCTGTTTTACAAGATGTTAAATGTTCAACTTTTTAGTTTTGCCAATACCTCCTATTTTTCCTTTTTCCACATACACCCTCCTGCTGCATTGAACCACAAGTATCCCATATTTCATGAATATTCCTGAAGTGGCTTTTTTTAATATCAGCTACAGTATATGATGTTTGTAACAAACTACATGAGTTCACACAGATGCCTGAACTCATAGTTGTCATTATTGGACATGTACAACATCCAATAACAAAAATATTTATGTGGGTAAATCCAACAAATCTAAGGGTCTTCCGACCTGGGATTACTACAACCTTTACACTAATGTTTCCAATAAAAAAAAAAATAATGGAAATGTAAGTCTTCATCATTGCTGCTCTCCATCAGCATGCATCTGTAATACCAGTGTCATTGTATTGTTTATCATGAAAAATGTTTCATGATGAGATTTAGACTCCATTCAAAAACCGACAGTATCAGATAAGTCATTTTTGGTTTTTCTCTAATTTTTATCAATAAATATTAGCAGAGCTACTTGATGCCATTAGGTGGTGTTTACAAAGCAGTTAATCCAGGAAACTCATTGATTATTCTTGGAGCTGTTCACACCCAATAAAAATAAAGACGACTGTAGATGTTAGCTTCAGCACAAGTGCCAAGAAGGTTTGATTGGTGCATTTTAGTGCAGATATATTTGGCGTTTGAACTATTACAATAGATAGTTATACCTTCTTTTAAAGCAGAGCCCAGGAATTTGTGGATTTTTGCCATTTGTGGAGCATTTGGGTCACAAATCCCACAAATACTAAGAGTTCACTATATCACCAAGAGCTGTCTGGGTTGCAACAATTGTTAGCTACCCAAGTAACATGCCTTAGGCTCTCTGCTTGTATATTTCAGAACACTTTATACTCAATGAGGCATAAAATTGTTTTACAAGGTGAAGTGGTGAAACATGCTCCATTTTATTTTTAAAAAAATGCTGATCAATAGACTGGTAGATCTTCCAAACATAGCAAAATATTAAGAATTTTCATTATAAATTATGTATTTATGTACGATACACAGGGTGTCTGTATAGCCACCACAATATTGAACAGTGATTTAACTCTGCCGAATCTTGTCTGCTTGCGTTTATGAAACAGTTTGGACAGAAGCCATCCTCAAGACACAATTGGTTCTGATTACACAGAAACAGTAGGTTCAAGCACAACATCATCTTCTGTGATGGTTCTGGAATCTTAGAGGTTCTACAGCTAATGGTACCAGACCTACAGAAGGCAAAATGCTGATGTCTCATTACCCTTGAGCAGACATTGGCGGACCTCCTCTACTTCGTAACGCTTCCCTGTGCTGTAGGTAAAGTTGAGAGACAAGCAGCGTTCAGGTATCGGATACTCCGTCTCCTTCCTATCAACAATGATTGATGTGGGGCACCACATAGGAGAAAGGACCTGGAACATGTGGATCAGATTAATGTCAAATCAGAGTTTGAAGACACTTCTAATTTGTTCTACATAAAAACACTCGAACGACTAAACATACTCAATGGTCCTTTTGAATTATTGCCATGCCATCCTTTGTAACCTACCTGGATTTTGCCTTCCGTCCCAATAATAATGGCTTCACTGTGTAGCTCAACCCCAGCAGAGCAGGTAAACGTTGCCATTCTGTTCTTAGAATACCTAAGAATGACAGCCACAGTCTCATCCACTCCTACAGGGAGGAGAATATACAACAGTGTAGATAAAAGATGCTAAAACTCAAAATACAGCCACAAAAGCTTAAAATAAAGAGTTGTAAGCTAATTTAGAGTTTATACAAGGCCAATCAGGATGTGAAAATACCTTTGGGAGCATACCAATTAGATAAAATTTCTTTTGTCAGACTGTAAGGTATGAAATGATCCATTTTGTAAGTCTGAACTGATGTTTGTGATGGTTAATCTACATTTTAAAAGGACTTTTTACATTAATTTTCTGGCATTTCAGAGCTTTTATGAGCAGAGAAAAGTTGAAATGCATGCAACTACAGTAGGGAAATACTTACTGTAACAAAGCCAGAAAAATAAAGCTTATAGACAGCTCAAGGTTTGTGTGAAAGCCAACGATGCATTAATCCGACTTTTCCTATTAAAACCAAAAATGGTAGTTTGGTTCTTACTTTTGAAACATTCAACAGGGGGAAACGCATGTTTTAGAATTTGACTAATCAAATCAGATGTCCTGATTTCAATACTTGACAAGTTGATCAGCGAGTCTCAAGTCAAAATTTTAAAAAGTAAGCAGCTTTTCTTTTCAATATTCATCCAAGGAGGAATCAGCACACAATTATAAAAATCTTAACTGACTTGAGTATAAAGCATCTCACATAATGTCACTGATTTGGCACAGCCTCTGAGGTTACATGAATGCCTCATCCTGTTAACTCCTTACCCGTCTCCAGGCAGACGCCTCTAGCTTGGATACTCTCCGGCTTCTCTCCTTTGTATACCATACTTATGAATTGAAGGCAATAGATACCAAGTCCTAGTAATGCGCCTTCACTGAGGTCCTTCTGATCCGATCTAGACATGTGCAACAGTGGCAAACTATAGTCGGCACGGACCATCTTCACCTCCCCTATGTACTCCTGAGCCAGCAGATTTCTGATCTCCACAGAGGCCTGGAAGAAACGGGTCCACACAGCCTGGAGAGAAAACATGTTTTAAACTGTTCGTGTGCATTAGTACACAGAGAAATTATTTTTTTCTTCCTGGTTTGCTAACATGCTTACCTCCATGAGGAAGACGTTGTTCTTTTTGGCAGAGTCCAGAATCTCTTTCAGTTCCTTTGTGTTCATGGCCAGCGACTTCTCACACAGAACATTCTTTTTAGCATTTATGAAAAGTTTACAGGCGTTCAGATGGTACGGGGGGATGACTCCAACATGGACAATATCTGCACACAGGTCAAACAACACTGAATAGTGTCATTTTCAGAAATAACAGTATGAAAGATAAAGATAAAATTAAAATGGGATAAAACATTTAATATAAAGCAGGAGGTATTGTAAAGCTTCATAATTAAAAATAAACTGAAAAACCTCTGGCAGATGGACACTGACCCATGTCTGGATCTCTGGCCAGCTCCTCATAGCTGCCGTAAACTCGAGAGATGCTGTGTTTATTGGCAAACTCCTGAGCATCTTCTAATTTACGAGCTGCAACAGCCACAACCTGCAAGTACAACCACCTTCCTGAGGACCTCAGTACACATTGTTAAAGTATTAAACTCCAATGAAATTGTGACATTTCGACATGGACAATATTTTCCAACTAAATGTTTTGTTACTTTAACAGCACCTTGCAACAGCACACTTGACCTCTAATTACAATAAATGTTGATCTATTTCATTGAGAACTTCTAGATTATTAACACAACATGGGGAATAAATATGCAGTGGATGCACTGCATATTTACAGTGTCTTAAATTTCAAATGACCGTCTTCCGTAAGATGATTTAAAAAAAAAAAAAAAACTAGACATATTGCATACTTTACGTTGAAAGGGTAAGAGCTTCTAGTTTGTCCAAATAAATGTCGACCACGGCCTGCAATTTGCAACTCTGTATGACTTGCTAACATCTACTGCATGCACATTTTAAGCCTGTCCGTTCAGCTCGGAAGCAGAAACTAATTTTTAGCTGAACCTTTAGTCAGAACAACTGCCGAGAGGTCCCGACATAATGTTTTGCACCGAACTGCGAAGAAATTCAATTGTGTGATTTTCGCTTCAGCTTAACAAACCCACCTGATGGTCTTCCGCAGGACGCTTTTTCAGAGCCACAGTGAAGTTATCACTGATCTTCCCTGCGCCGCAGATTCCCCACCTGGTTGCCATGTTGAGTCAAGTGTCCTCAGCTGTCTCTGCCCTCACAAGGTAACGTAGTAGGTGTTCACTGTCACCAGATGGCGAGAGAGCACCAATTTTCCTTTTATATGGTCGGTTTTCTATTAACGTCACACTAATTTTCAAATATTGACTTACACGTGCATTTAATATGTGAACAGCATGAATGCATGGATGCTTGGAAACCATTCCAGGCAAATCGATTTTATTTATGTATTTAATATGGACAAGTAGAAGTAATATGTTTAAACATTAGCATAGCCATCGCTAATTTGCAATGTTTGTCAGTAATAGTCTTTAAAATCAAGTGAAAAAAGTAAAAGTTACAACAATAATACATGAGCCTGTATTAAAAGCATTTCTCCGGCGTGAATAACTACACCCAATAATTATAAACCCTTAAGAAATAAACAAATTGACAGAAAATAGAGCCTTTATTTCCCCCACAAAATTTTATCTACCTTTGCTAGCTGTTTTGAAATGTTCATAAACATACATTCAGTTCTTCTTTTGGGAAAAGAAGGATCCACTAATTGACTGAGATTATAATTTTAGTCTATAAAAGACATTTTTATATTTGGAAGTATTTAAAAACATTTATATCATGATGCATTGTTTTATTACAAACATAACGTTTTTTACATAATTTTGAGAAGTAGGTCTATGTGTATTTTAATGCAGTTGATGTTGACACTGAAAAACAGAAATATCTCCATGTTTCTCTACAAATGATGCTGTTTGAAAACAAACGTTTGCAATCAGTTCTTTATTAGATTCATCAATCACACATCCCAGATGGCACACGATGGTAATTCAAAGTTGAATTGTAGTCAGAATAGTTGGTTTTAGGTTGAGGTCGACAATTGACAATGGATCTGTCATCAAACAATCATCCAATTCCAGCCAATTAACTAATGTTGAAAATATGTCATTGATCAATGTAATTTTCTGGTCGAACTCTATTGATTGAAATGCCAGTGTTTTTCAACACACTGCCTTGCAAGTGTTAGATATTTCCCTAATTCAGCACACATGATTTTAACTAATGATTGACAGGGTTTTGCTAAATTGAAAACATG